TTTATCTTTCATTTCTTGCTGTTGACCGGCGAGGTTTGTTTTCCCTTGTTTGTTTCTCGAGAAACTGTAGGAAAAGTTGCCTGTATCTTTCCATTTTAAAACTGTTTGTTTCCAGGAAGATCGAAATCAGGTAAAGAACTTAATTTTCGCAATGGGTCATTTACAAAAAAAAGGTTTTTTTTTATAAAATATTATCTTTGTGGTAATATGTTTCATTCACTTTGACATTAAAAACTGGAATTTGAGGGTTTATACACACACAAACATACATTTTATATGCTTAATTTATTGAATTCGTATCCTTTTGGGAGTTCAAATAAGGAGATTATTAAAGTAAAAGATGATATTGTTGATTTTCTTTCCTACAAATTGATTCATTGATTGTTAATTATAGTGATAGCATGAGTAATCAAATTGATCTGGGGTATCAAATTTGGTGAAATAGGTTTAAGCCCCTAAAATGTATGCTATTAGGTTATTTGGTATAATTATGATTAATATTTAAACTATTCTTTGTTTTTAATTTTTGTTATACTATCTCTGTAGGAGAATGCCTCAGCAGATTAAAGCACCCCAGCAGGTCCCTTCATTTGAGTATGAGCTTTTTGAAGGAGACCCTGATCAACTTAGGACTGTTGCGGCTACACCAACTCAGACATCACCATGGATCAACCCTTCATCGCTGAAACTTAAGCATAGGATCGGTCGAGGCCCTTTCGGTGATGTTTGGCTGGCTACTAATCATCAGTCCGGTTTTGATTTTCAAGAGTATCATGAAGTTGCTGTTAAGATGTTACATCCATTGAAGAAAGAGCATATGCAAAAGTTCATTGATAATTTTGAAAAGTTGTTCTTGAAGTGTAGAGAGCTCCCTGGTGTTTGCTGGTTGCATGGTGTCTCTGTTCTAAATGAAAAGGTGACTCCTTGCCTTACATTTCAATGTCTTTTTCTACTTATTCTATATATATATATATATTCGAACTCGACATGGATGTCCTATGTCTTTGGTACCCTCATGACACAGTTCTTGAGAGTTTATAGGTGTTAATTTTTTAGTCAAGGGTTCCACTTGGATTTTCCTTTCTGCCGGTAAATTGAAAGTTCCATCTAAATGGATAGCATTTGATCACAAGATAGATTTGTTTTCACGCATTTTACAGATTTGCATTGCTATGAGGTTTTACGAAGGATCTTTGGGTGATCAAATGGCTCAGTCAAAAGGGGGCAAGCTCTCATTGCCTGATACGTTAAGGTGATAAGTTGTTATATGTTTTCTTCTTTGTGAAGCATGAAGTGCTTTTAGTTGATTCGTAGGAAATCTTTTGAAAAACTCGCTGATATTTACAGGTATGGGATCCAGTTAGCAAGAGGGCTCATGCAGTTGCACTCAATAGGGTTGTTAGTTCTCAACCTGAAGCCTTCCAATTTCCTTATAAGTGATCGTGATCAACTAGTTCTTGGGGATTTCGGAATCACTTATCTACTTCTTGGGGTTCCGTTGTCCGACTCTGATATTTCTCTTAGGCTTGGAACTCCTAACTACATGGCTCCAGAACAGTGGGACCCTGAAGTGAGAGGTCCTTTATCCTTGGAGACCGATGTTTGGGGATTCGGGTGTAGCATAGTGGAGATGTTGACTGGTGTTCAGCCATGGTTTGAGAAATCAATTGAAGAAATTTATCGTTCGGTTGTGATTAAGAAAGAAAAACTACAGATACCAAGTGGCTTGCCTCCAGCAGTTGAGAATGTTATTAATGGTTGCTTTGAGTACGATCTCAGAAATAGACCGTTAGTTTCAGACATTTTACTTGCCTTCGAAAGGTGTTTGCTTTTGCCTTTCTTTCTACTATTGGCTTCTTATACTTCATTGCATTAGATACATGTTGCTTTCTCTTTAGAGAGGTAGGTGTTTGTGTTTGTTAAATGGTTTCCATGCATTCCCTGTTTAGTACCGACCCGATTGTCTTTCTGTAGTTTTACTGTGTTTGTGTTTGATTGGATCAATGATAGTTTGACTGTACTTGCAGCTCACTAAACACTATTCATGGTGATGGGGGATGGATTGGCAGTGGAAGCCGACCGTTAAAAGAAAAATCAATTATTAGCGGTTACACCACTTGGTATCTCTCAAAGGATCGTCTTCAAGTGGGCGATACAGTTCGGTCAAGAACCCCTTTGAATTCCCGCAGACCTCAAACCGTGGATGTTCGGGAAGGAACTGTTGTTGGTGTAGATGGTGACGCTGATAAGAATACCTTCGTTCTGGTGAAAGTTCCCGGAATGCATAATGCTCTCCGAGTTCAGGAGTCGACACTTGAGAGGGTAACATCTGGGTTGGCAGCGGGCGATTGGGTGCACTTGAAACAAGAAACCGACACTCATTCTCCCGTGGGAATTCTACATTTGGTGCGGCGTGACGGGACCGTGGCAGTGGGATTCATAGGATTGGAGAAACTCTGGACAGGCAAATCTCATCAGCTTCAAATGGCTAAACCATATTACATCGGTCAGTTTGTGAGGCTTAAGGCAACCGTGCTTTCTCCCAGGTTCGAATGGCCACGGAAGAGAGGAGCATGGTCCAGCGGAAGAATCTCAGAAATACTTCCAAACGGGTGCCTTGTTGTAGAGTTTCCAGGTATATTTGTTTTTGGAAATGAACCCAACAAGTTTTTGGCCGACCCTGCCGAAGTTGAACCAGTGTCTTTCGATACTTGTCCCAGCATAGTCGAGAAATACCAACATCTCGAGGATTTCCATTGGGCTGTTAGGCCACTAGCAATTGCCTTTAGTTTATTAACAGCCATGAAACTCACCATATCGGTGGGGCGCAGTATAAACGCAAGACTGAAGAAAAACCGGCCAAAAAACAAGGACGGTACCAGCTGGAATCCGGGTTGGAGGAGGATGATATTTAAAGATGGTGGTTCCACCAAGTAAATTAGAACACAGCTTTGCACTAAGGTGAAGAAAGGAAAGCGTAAATAAGGTTGTGAATAAGTAGCAGACAAAGGCGTAAATATTTATGTACTGAAGTCTGAATATCTTTGGTTGATATTTGTTGCTTCTTATTATATAAGCATTATCCATGGCCGATTCTGCTCTAAGCTTTCTTTTCTTAGCAGTTATCCTTCGCTTTAACCATTTGTGCTTCAGTAGAGTTAGAAGGATCATTCCATAGGATTGGTATAGAATGTTTTAAAATTTAGGGATTAATTTCAAATAAGGTCATAGTTTGGTGAGTGATTTAGAATGTTCTAACGTTTATGGATCAATGTAGAGTAAGTGTTACAGTTTAGGAACCTATTGTGGAATTAACTCTTATATGTTAGACATTTCGATTGGCCTCTTAATATTGTAATTAGGATTGTAAACGAACCGAACGAACACGAACGGGGTATGTTTATGTTCGTTCATTTAATAAATAAACGAACATAATCGAACACGAACATAAACGAACAAAATTTTTTTTGTTCATGTTCGTTCATTAAGGAATATAGCTTGTTCATTTAATAAATAAACGAACACGAACGAACAAACATAAACGAACATAATAAAGAACATAAACAAACAACACAAACAAAAAAAACTTATTCGAACATAACAAACGAATGTAAAAAAAAGTAAACAACAAGAATAACAACTTAAAATTCATTAAAATAACCTGCAACTTTAGAGTTAATTTGTTCGAATACGACAAAAACATACATAAATCATAAATAGGCTATATGAACATAATAGAGTCTTAAAGTTAATTTGTTCAACAAAACAATCTTCTTGAAATCCAAACAACTTCAATAATCTTCGTAACATATTCAACTTGCCCTCTGTTCAAACATAAATAAACGAACATAAATGAACATAAACGAACGAACATATAATCGAACGTTCACGAACGTAAATGAACGAACGAGCCCTTTGTTCATGTTCGTTCATTTAATTAAACGAACGCAAAATCTTGTTCATGTTCGTTCATTTAATAAATAAACGCACATAAACAAACTTCTCACCGCACGGTTCATGAACGGTTCCCTGAACATTCAGTTTATTTACAGGCCTAATTGTAATGTAAGCTCGTGATGTAATGATAAAAATTTTAGCCGCTCTCTAAACCACAAACACCTCCCCTCCCAAATGTTTTTTATGTATCAAATCAACTTGGTTGTTGATCGTTGGCTTTTTATTATTTACTTTTTTAATAAAAATAATTTTATTTTTATGGCACGTTTATATAGTATGTTTTCCTTTGTTTTTATGATATTTTTTTTGTTTTCTTTAGCTATTATATATTTTATGCTTTTCAGAGTTAGATTTGACGATGTTACAACTAATGACGTTTATTTGTAATTTAATTTATCTTCTCTATTATGGACTCTCAGATTGAATTTAGATTGTGATTTTATAATCATGTAAATTTTCTCACAAAGTTTGACTTTGATTTGTAATTCTCGATAGTCTTTTAATAGCTTAATTCTCTCATGCAGTTCGTTTATTGATACAGTCAAATTTATTTATATTTGTTTTTTCTTGAAATTTTTTATTGGTTTTTTATTTCATGTATGTCCCCTTATAATTTAGAGTGGATAGTTAGGAATATATTCAAATTATATATTTAGTTTACAATTATAAATGTGAACTCTTATTATAATTTTGGATGTTTTCTTTTTAATAAGAGGAGTTGCTTCTATTTAAAGAAAATATTGTAATATTTTATAAAATTTAAATAATATAGAACTAAAATAGAAATAAATATCATATATAGTAAACGTAAAGAGACTAAAATCAGAATTAGACCTATTATTACCTTAGATCGCGTTAACGTTATAAAAATCTTCGCCAACTTCGCAGCCCTGAAAATCTTACCCCACGCGCCAAGCATCCCATTTTCAAAAAAGAACTCAAAAATGAAACACACAATACGTGGCCGTTTTAAAGCATTTCGCTTTCTTCTCGACGAGTCCACCGCCTCTATAAAAAATTAAAAATTGGAAACACGTATCATCAAAACCCTAAGCCTGAAATTAGAATTCATCATTTTTCTCGTCAACCAAACAGAAAATTTCAGTCCTAAAAACTCGATTTTCCCCTTTGTTTTCTTAATTAAAGTAGAAAGTAAAGAGAGAGGGGGGATTGAGGCCGATAGTGAGCTTCTTTTATTTGATTTAGCAAAGGATGTCTGCGGCAGTGTGCGGCAGCAAGAGATCGTTCTTCGAGGATATCCCATCATCGCCACCGGCTTCTTCCTCTAAGAAGATCCGGCGCTGCTCGCCGTCATCTCCTTCTTCTGTTCGCCCGCTATCTGCCCTCAATCACCTCCAAGCTCTCTTCCCTCACATGGACCTCGAGGTATTTCGCCCGTTTTGTTTTATCTTGTATTTATAATCGTCAATTTAGATGCATAATAAAAAATTTGATTTGTTATCGTATGAAAAAATATATTTCAAAAGATTTATGAGACAGGTGTAATTGTTTGTTGGATGAAAGATTGAATTCTAAACATGGATACATGGAAAAGAAGGTAATTTGCTTCATTTGATTTTGTGGTAAAAGTCTTAACAATTGTAACTGTGTAGATATAATCCATGAAAGGTTGCAACTGTATTCCGGTCTTATTTTTGCAAGTTTCGGATTAAACTGGATCTTATAGTTGATTACTTGTCTGATTATCTTCAATCAATTCTTTGTTGAGGGTTTTCTTCATCAGTTGTGTGACCATACAAAAAAATTGTATATGGGATTATTTCTTTTAGTGGTTTAAAAGATTTAGCTCTTGTGTTAATAATTAGCAATCATTCCTTTCAGCTTCTGGAGAAAGCGCTACTCGAATGTGGAAACGATATAGACTCTGCTGTCAAGAGGCTGCAGGAACTTTGCTTAGGAGCGCCAGAGGCTAGAGGGGAAAAGACCCAGTGTCCTGTTGAGGAACCGGGCACAACTGCTGAGCAGGGTATATGCCTAACTCTTGAAATCGTGTAGCTTCATTGAAGCCTGCTACCTGAACATTAAGTATTCTATGTCAAATTCTTGTGCTGTGATATGCCATCTACTTTGGGCCGAGCAGTTTTCACCTTGTAAGGGAATCTCACATCTGCCTTGAAATTGCAGGTATTTCAATTAATGATGGAGAAGCAGCTGCTGCTGTGACCGTTCAGAATCCACCAGCCTCTGAAAATCTGCCTGTTGATGGTGCTGCATGGGTGGACTTGTTTGTGAGGGAGATGATGAGTGCTACAAGTATGGATGATGCCAAAGCCCGTGCCTCGAGACTGCTGGCGGTTTTGGAGAATTCCATTAGTAAACGTGCTGCTGAAGAGACAGCACAAAGTTTTCACAAGGTGTTATCTCTTAGCCATCTTTGCATCTCTACCTATCATGCTTTTTCTGGACTCGGCAGAAGTCCTGCAAAACATATGAAGCAAGTTTTAGTCAAAATGCTATATCGACACTCAAGTTAGTTGTTGACATGAACATGCTTTAGCTTAATAGGAATCAATATGATCTGCAATGAAATGTGTCTGTTTGTGAAGCTAGGATCAGCCTGCCTTTATATCAATTTTTGTTGAATTGAACTTGCTAATATCAGTTACATACCTGTGTCAAAAGCTCACATGAGTTCAATTTTTCACATATTCATGAAATCAGACATGGGCTTTGAAGCTGTTAAAGGATGACCTTTTTCACTCTTGTGTGTTTTTTATTATCAGGAAAATACCATGTTAAAGGAACAGATTGAAGCATTGGTTCAAGAAAATACAGTCCTCAAACGTGCTGTGGCTATCCAACACGAACGACAAAAGGAGTATCAAGATAAAAACCAAGAGCTGCAACATTTGAAGCAATTGGTTTCTCAGTATCAGGAGCAGCTTCGGACTTTAGAGGTCGGAATCGAAATCTCTCAAAATTCTTCATTTAGTCAATAATTTTTTTGCCTATTACATATAACCGAAAACATAACTGAAACAAGTTGATATTGTGTCACTTTTATCAAACTCATCTTCGTATTTTGTTTGTATTACTGGACAGGTAAATAACTACGCATTGATAATGCATTTGAAACAAGCACACCCTAGCAACTCGATCCCTGGGCATTTCAACCCAGATATCTTCTAAAGGTATAAAAGATGGAGCGTGCGTAGTAGGGATGAAATGTTTTAAGCTTTTGTAAGTTTCAGCATATATTTTAGCACAATGATGCTTCTTAATCAGTTTGCTTTTGCTGATACACTTTCTAAAGAGTCATGGTGCTTGGTAATAAGGTGTGTTGGTTTAGAACCTCCTCAGTTTGTTGGAGTACTTTTAGTTTTATATCTCATAGTGAATCAATTGAGTTTTCATGTTATATACTGAGACCACTTTTGATTGTTTCGCGTTCGGGTTCGACAGATTGATTTCTATGGTATCAACCACCACTGGCGTCAAGCTCACCCTAAATCATTTCGTGCTCGTTCCCTCTTTTATCCATCGAAAACACCTCCAATATAGCCCCTGTAACGAACATCACTGGATTGATGCATTACGATAAAGCAACTGAATTTTCTCTTTTAACAAATCGATTTCTTTTTTACGACCAAGCACGAAGCTTTTAAGTTCCATTTTGAAGCACGATGGTTTTCAGGAGTTGCAAAAGGCTGTCGTCGTCATTGACTTCGCCGTCTGGGTTCTCTTTGAGGTTCTTAAGGATTTTCAAGGCAAAAGTTTTTAGGAGCTCGATTGAGTGCAAGCTTGACGCTGTCGTCGTCATTGAATTCACCAAAATTATTTTAAATAAATGAAGAATTTCTTTCAGACTATACCACATTAATTTTTGACTGATTTAATAAATTTTCCTTAAATTCTATCATAAAATTTAATAAATCGCTTACGACGAAAAAGCTATACATAAAACTGAATATATATATATATATATTATCATTTTCTACTCTTAAAATTAATCATTTATTCTCATTTATCCAACGGTCTTAAATCTATGTAAAATTAAAAAAGTTTTACATTGTGTAATAAGATCTTATCTATATATATATTACACTAAAGAGTTGATTATAGTTAAAATACATAAAAGCGATTTAACCCCATGTTACATATATCACAGAAATAGACATATCAATTAACGGTAAAAAAAGTTTGTATATAAAATTAAAAATTATTTTTATCACATTAAAGAATTGATTATAGTTTGGTATCTAATCTTGAACCATTTTTTATTCTATTTGTGACAATGTTAGGGTGTTTGTCTCGAAAAATCACCGGTGATTGTTATATTTACTGATCTAACACCGGTCAGATTATATTTCTCGATCTAACATCCATAGTAGTAAAGCGCGCCCCTTGTCCCGCGTTATATGCTGATTTGGCGCCACATGGGGTATAGCGCGCCCCCTGTACCGCGCTATACGTTGACATGGGTTACACGTGTGTATAGCGCGCCCCCTGATCCGCGCCACGTAGGGGTATAGCGCGGATCAGGGGCCGTACTATACGCCACGTAGGGGAATTATATTTAACATAATGGTTATAAATACACTCCTCCGCCGGTTAAGTTTCTCACGTCTCCTCACATCTCTCCTCTCAACTTATAAATTAATACAACAATTCCGTCAACGAGTAATAATTAAGGCAATCTTCTCATATTTGATTTAGAAGTTCGTGCGATTTTTCGTTATAAGGTAATTTTGTTATAATTTTTTAATTATACTTATTGTTTATTATCATTATTTGAAAAAATATTATACTAATTATCTTCAATTAATTTTTATTTTGTAAAATTGAAAAACAGAAGCATACGTCAAAATAGTTTTGCAGTGCAAGTAATAATATAATATTATATTATTTAAATTATTTACGTTGATGTGTAAAAAATTTATTGTGTTATATTTTCGTTCATATATAATTTATTTAATCAGGTTTGTTTCAATTATTTTTTTTGCAGATACAATATTGCCTCCTGTACCGCGCTATACCTCACGTGTCAGATAACCAGGTATAGCGCGGCCTCTGATCCGCGTCATACTCCTACATGACATATAGCACGGATCAGGGGGCGCGTTATACACACGTGTAACCCATGTCAGCGTATAGCGCGGTAAAGGGGGCGCGCTATACCCCACGTGACACCAAATCAACATATAGCGCGAGACAGGAGAACGCTTTACTGCTACGGGTGTTAAATCAAAAAATATAATATGACCGATATTAGATCAATAAATATACCGATCACCGATGATTTTTCGAGAAAAATACATAGCCAAATGTTTTGGCAGATGTATAGCTAGAGACTGTAGAACTTCCCGTATCTCTGAGTGAGCGTACGTTGTTTTCCTTTGGATGTTTGTGATAGTTCCTCTGTTTGTAGCAGCTTTTGCTGTGACTCTTTTGGATATATGAAAGACAAATTTATAGAAAAAAATTGGACCGTTTTATTTTAATAAAAGTTAGTTATTTTCCCCCAGATATCAACAGGCACCAGTGGTCTAGTGGTAGAATAGTACCCTGCCACGGTACAGACCCGGGTTCGATTCCCGGCTGGTGCATACTGGAGCAATGATGATTGCAGCGCTCAAGTGAATATATAGGGTTCCTTACAATCATCTGATTTTCAGACGAAAAGATAGCGTTTCAGAGCTTCAATATTTTTTCCATCAAATCCACTACCGAACCAAACGCCCACCTTCCATAACAGAGTTATTTCCTTTCGTTTAAAGGTCAGATATGATGAAATGGACCATGCACTCAAATTGTTCGGTCAAATTCCTGAACCAAAAAGTGTCCTTTGAACACAATGACCAAAGTGTCTTCACGTCTTCTTTTAATGCCACATCTAGCCCATCTCTCTCGGGCATGGAATAGCTTAAAAGATTGACCAGTACTTCTCAACAAGGGAACTCGATCAAACGGGTACCTGCTTTACCCGGCTTCATGATTAGCTCCCCTACTCCTTCACAACAGGACATTCTCACAGTGAATACCTTATTGATGAACCAGAGAGGGCATGGAACATGGAAATTCTCGGGAGGGAAAGCTGATGATGCTATGTAGATTATATCTATTGACCCTCCATCCATTGACGATGTTTCGGTTTGCCACTTTTCTCATAATGGCAATACTACCATGGATCAACTGCATGAAATGAAGCCGAATGGGCAAGTATTTGACAACTAAAACCTGTACCGAATGTCAAACACTTTGTATGACGAGGCTTGCATGATGCCATTGCAACAAAAGATGAATTATTGCGACGACAAGAAGCTTGACTGCATGTTGCATGAGCTGTGGAGACAGAAAAAATGAAACACTTGAACATGTCCTGTTCTTTTGGCTGGCAGCACAAGCAATGTGGAAAGCTGTTCCCAATTTCAGAGACTTCTGAAGACTAAGCCTTATGCATCATGCATGGAGCTGCTGGGAACCACGGAAGGCCAGTGTCTCAGCCCTCACAAATCCATGTATGAAATGATGCTGTTTATGGCTTATTGCAAGGCATGCCTCAGCTAAAGTAAACCAGGAGAAAGAAGGTAACAAAGCCCTAACTAGATTGCAAAACGAACTTTAGTTGAGGCATCTCTAGCGGGATGTGTTTCAAGCCATCCAAGGGAGCTTCAAGCTCTGTTGTAATGATTCTTTTCTTTAATGAAATCTTTGATCAAAGTTGACTATATATATATTGCTTAAATTCATAATCTAGTATCATAATTTTGTTACTTGAACTCTTCATTTTTCTTAAAATATTTATGTTTGACTCTCGTGTTGTCACATGAATATAAAGATAACTCAAAAAATATAATCATACAAGAGACACTTAATGACCAACATAAATTATAAGTCATCAAGTCATATGGTTCTTACTATTTGGAAAACCGAAAACTCCATCTTTGGGTATGCAAATGTGGTTTATGCCATGACTGGTATGTTCTTAGATTCCCTTCCTTTTACTTCCATCTCTTTTAATAAACAAGAATATATTATTTGCTTTGTTCTTTTCAAACAACAAACACCAGTGGTCTAGTGGTAGAATAGTACCCTACCACGGTACAAACCCCGGTTTGATTCGCGGCTGGTGCATCCTTGAGGCTGTGACGATAGTTGCGTTACATTGAAGGTTAGGGTTCTTCTCAATCGTCTGATTCCTAGACGACGCCTCAGCGCTTCTGAGCCTTAATTTTTTGTGTTTCTGTCATTTTCTTGACGTTATAGATAATATGACAAGGGACCTAAAACTTGCCCTGGTATTCGTGGGATAAGAAAACATGAAGCCTGCAACGTAGACTGATTGGTTTATCATTTTGACTTGTACCAGTACTTATGGAGCATCGATAGATACGGTCTAATACAAGAACTTTAAAAAAAACGATAAATGAGTACGATACAAAACATTATTTTTGTGGGGAAATTTTTAACATATACGTCATACAATTATAAACGAACCCTTTGTGAACCGCTTGGCGAATTTTTTTTATGTTCGTTTATTTATTAAACGAAAGAACGTAAACAATATTTTATATTCATTTAATTAAATGAACGAACACAAGTAAATAATTCGTTCGTGAACGTTCGGTAATTCGTTCGTTTGTTTAAATTTATTCGCATATGTATTTTCCACTCAACAACTCATTTTTCCTTTCGTTTAAATCCGTTCGCTTATGTTCGTTTAAATTTATTCGCATGTGTTCGTTTATATTAATTCGTTTGTGTTCGTTTATCGTTTTAACGAACGAACACGAACAAAAAAATGTGTTTATTTAATTATTTATGTTCGTGCGTTTATTCGACTAAAGTTAACCGAAGAAACATTAATATATCATCGTTCGTGTCCATTCGATTCATTTATGAACCTATATGCATGAATCACGAGGTCGCCCCACATGTGTGATTTGTGATGATTAAGATATATATATTCACCTTCAAACTCATGATCTTGCACTTTTTCGGCGTTACTTCCTATGACAAGTAACAACACCCGTACACATTTTTTTGGGTATACGAACTCCCCTAAATATTTGTTTCGTATATAATTTTATTTTTAATTTTTGTTTATTTTAATTTTTGATTTCATTAACTATAAGAAAGATTTAGTCACCAACAACCGGTTGACCTTGTAGGATGAGACACTAGATTCCTTAAGTAATGTCAGAGTTTCGAATCCTGATATTTGTGACATCGAATAGTATCGAATGATCATAGATATAATTGACATCCATGAATATGTATGTTTTTATCATCTTTAATTGGTGTATCATATAATAATTCATCACTTTTAGTATAATTAATATTTTTAGATGTCCCCAAACTATTATTCAAATTCTAAAATGGTCCCAAATCTCGAAGTATTTTAAATTCTCAAACTATTAAAATTGTTTCAATCTGGTTCTTTTGTCAGTCTAAATGATTAGTTAATGCGTTGAATGTCAGTTTAAATCTCTTGCAAATATATTTAAAATATATGAATCATATATTTAATATTATTTATCTATCACGTAGATAACATAGACATAACATGTTAATAAAAATGGCGTCCTTATTAAACTTTAATGACACAACTTATTTTTCACATGTTCGATGTAAATTGTCGATGCAACATATTCACATGTGTTAAAAATGATCCAAAGATGTTCATATACTCCATGTTCGATTCGAACTAACATTTAATGTTTCAACATATTACTAGACTAATAATAATACTTGATTAAAATGATATTAATAATTTGAAAATTCGATAGAGAATGTTTTGAAACTTAAGATTAATTTATAGTCCGAACAGAGATTCAAATGTATGATGTAATAATTTTTTAAAATAATAAATGTTTTCTTAAAGGGAATGCACGTATTCATACAAGACAGTTGCACCTAGCTTACAATTATGGGATATTATTGGATAGATTTATCTACCAATATATATATTTTGAAAAAAAAAATGATTTTCTTAATTTGTCAAGAAATATATGTGAAAAATAAAAGGTGAGGTTATGTTTGTCATTTGGATTAATAATATATTTTAGGAAATATTCTCTATCGTTCAAAACTAATGAAATATTGGAAATATCGAAATTATAATATAAGATAATGACAAATTTAATTCCATAATTAAAATGATTAAATGAAGCAATAATTACCAATGAAAGCGGGGACAAAAATGGTACCCAATCACTTTTTCAAGGTCAAGACTGCCATCATCATTAGACAATTAAGATTAATAAATAAATACCAGACTATGTCTTTATGTAAAAGTTTGTGGATAAAGTACAATAAAGGTCCCTAACCTATGCTCAAATAATTTTTTGGTCACTAGATTTTTAAAAGTTATTAAATAGTCATTAAGCTTATCGAATCGTTACAAAATGATCATCATGATATTTTTATAATTATAGAGTTTGGTAAATTTAATTATCGTTTTATAATATTTTAATAAATTTAATAATCATTTTGTAATAATTTGATAAAAAATAATGATCTTTTTGTAATAGTTCAATAAATTTAATAACTATTTTATAACGTCACAATGGTATTTTATAGAAGTTTAATAATTATTTTATAACTCTTAAAAGTTCAATATACAATATAGAAAAGATCATTTGTGCATTGCTTGGGGACCTCCGATGTAATTTATCTAGAATATTTTGATAAAATTTATTTAACTAATGGTTTATGTACAACTTCATCAATATTTTGTTTGTTGTTTAAGTAGTAATTTTGAGATATTTTATTTAAACATTACATAAAAATAAAAACATCATTATAAAATTATTTTTTAATCTTACATTATAGGAAATTAAATTAGTTTTACATATTTTTATATTACTAATGTTTTAAAAATCTAACTGTGATGTATCATATTATGTTGACATCAACCATGCACGTCGATTTTTTTAATAAATTATTTTATATTAGTGTGATTGAATCCTTAAAAGAGCTGTAAATAAATAAAAAAATATTGGATGAGCGATTTGGTTTCGGTTTATTCATCAAGCTAGCACAAATAAATATAGATAATATGTTAAAATACATTATATAAGAATTAAAATTAATCTTATTCGTTTGAGTTAGATTTAATTTTAACCCTAATCTGTCAAATGTGTACTATTCTTGCTTAAATAATTGCATGGCCAAATCAGGCATCATCTTCCAACTGTCGAAGCACAAGGGGAATGCACGGACACTGATGAAACAGAAAAGATGCAAACCCAACAACAAGCTTCCACGTGGCGCTTTCGTGGCCGTCGTTGTTTCTTTTACCAATTACTTTATTAATTTCACATTCTTAATCATTATTTTATTTTTATAATATTTATGTCCCGAGATTTTATAGTATTCAAAAAATCAACATATCTCACCTACCAACTTTAATGCCAATGGGGTCTCATAATAAAATAATAAGAAATTATACAAACTAATTATTAGTCGGTATAATAATATAAAGCGTTAAGTGTCTTAAATAATTTAAGTCAGAGACTCAAATTTTGACATTATAATTGAAAAAATAGAGCTGGAAAAATCATACCAGAATAAACCTTTTTAATACTTGATCCATATTAATCAATAAAATATTTATAACTATATAAAAAAAACAAATATTGAGAAAAAAAATGAGAGGTTCAATCCATATGAGTTAGGTCTTGGATAAGAGTTTTTTAAAATTTAAATTTGATTTTGTTAAATTTAAATTCAAATTAAATAATGAAAAGTAATAAATATTTAAATTTAATTATAAAAATATTAATATAAATATTTATAGTATTTTATCACTTTATAAAAAATTTCCATTATACTATATTAAAATTGAAAAGTTAGTCCTACTATTTTAATATTTTTACATTACTCCGCATACTATCTATTAATCCAATTGAATAGCATTTTTAAACTTTGATTTTAAATTGTTAATTTCGAAATCTAAAAATAATCAATTTATATGTACACAATTAATCAAATATCAATAGTTCAATAATTTATAATAAAATCAACGGTTCAAATTCATGTACTTTTTAAAAAATAGACCAATTCTTTAATTTTCATAAAATTCAATGATTAGAGGACTAACTTTTAAATTTTCATAAAATGAAAGGATGGAATTCATGATTAGCCCTTTCAAAAATCAAAGAAGTCTAAGTAAGACTCTTCACAACGTTACATTAAAAAAACCCTTATATAGTCTCTCCTTAACATTTTCAAAAGACATCATTCCTCAGCCCTTCAAGAATTTTCTCTTCCATTTTCTTCTCACTTTCGCCTGCTTTCCATCATTATTTTCCCAGAAAATCAGTAAGAGAAAGCACATTTTCTTTGGATTTTCTCAGAAAATTGTAAACAAAGTTTTCATCTGCAAACTTCAGTGAAGCTTCTGAGTGTTGCTGCAAATGGCCCCAAAGCCAGGCAAAGGCAAATCAAACAAAGCAAAACCAGAGAAGAAGCATAAGAAGAAAGAGGAGAAAGGTAGAAGACAGCTCCCCTCCCCCTCTTAATGGGAATTATCATTATTTTTTAATTTGTTTTATTTTTGCAGTTGTTCCCAGTGTTCTTGACATCACTGTCACTACACCCTATGACTCACAAGTTGTACTCAAGGTGCTTCGCATTACCAGTTTCGTTAACGGTTAAATGGGTAAACTACGTATTTAGTCACCCAACAATCACTTTGGTTCCTTTTTGTTCACACCAACTCTTTTTTTCTTCGAAATCATCACTAATGTTATCTTTTGATTTCATTTTATTAATTCACTGAATTATCACTATAAGATAATTCCACGTAATTATTAAAAGAATATCTTGTCAATAGTAATATTTTGAAAGAGAATAGTTGAGTGAACAAAACAAAACTAAAGTGATAGTTAGATACGTAGTTTACCCTATTTAAGTTAATAAATTAATAATGGGGTTTTATTTTATTTTGTTGAAGGGTATTTCAACTGATAAAATAGTTGATGTAAGAAGGCTGTTGGCTTCACATGTTGAGACTTGTCATCTTACAAACTATTATTTAATTCATGAGGTGTTCTTTTTTCCCTCCTATTTTCTTCTTCTTTACATATAAAATGTTTCTTAATTATTTATTTTTAAATAAAATTGTTAGGTCAAAGAGAAGAGATTGCATGACAAAGTAGAAGTGGTTACTTTGAAACCATGTTTGCTCAAAATGGTTCAAGGTGGGTTAACTTTCGTACTCGG